CCAACCTGGTTAACTTGGAATTAACCAGCTGGTTCATATGGTGACAGCTACGGTGACAATACATATCAGTCTACCAATGCCCCTGTTCTAGGGACCCAAATCCAGGTTGTAAGTCGACATGGTCGTAAGTCAAAAATGCTTAAATAATACATAGAAAATCTAAAATGGGTGTCTCCTTTTCTTCTCAGCACCACAAAACTCTCACTTTTAAGCTTGCCAGCCATTTCAAAGTGAATTACAAACGAAAATTTTATCTGTGTACTGGGTTGGGACTCGAAAATACGTAATTTGACAAAATTTTGGTACAACTGAGGCAGGTCAAGTATGGTCGTCGTAAGTCGGGGAGGAGCTGTATACGTTTTTGAATGATATGAATCCTCCGAGGTTTCAGATCATACATCACATGACTCAGAGTGCCAGTCACTACCAGGATCTTACATTGAATGAGCGAGGAATTATCGGGGAGACTTCACAAGACAGAGAGGTGCTATTGTTGCCCTTCACAATGAGGGTATACCTAACCCACAGTATCACAGTGGGTTAGGCTCCATGAAACAACTGGTACTGCACTGAAACTTTTTACTAAAAATGTCTTGCTATAGGTGGATGTAAGATTTTGTTCCTGCAAGTCCCTTGATTTGAAACCTTATTTCAGTGTTAAGCTTGTAGTGGATAGTCTCCCCTACAACTGCGATTTGTAACTGACCAGTAGACCCCGCCTCGAGTTCCTCAGACCAAGCCTCGCTTTCGGACTGCACGGTGATTGGCCAGTTCCCGCCTTTCACCTCAGCCAATCAGCAGCGCCGCTCACTTCCAGTAGACTTGTATAAATATCCCCAGCCTCGCCGTGAAGATTATTCTACTCAACGCTCTCAAACAGACAAGACTTCTCAACAAGCTCCTCATCACACAGCAACTCCCTAGCACTGCATTGTACATATAATATATATACCGTATATCTCGGCTTATAAGACGGAATTTGAACATTTAAAAAATCTGCCCAAAGTTAGGGGGTCATCTTAATCACCAGGTATAAAATTCTTGCCTCTTAAATATTGTGGTTTAGTGTGTCAAGAATGGTGATGGAAACATCGTAAGCCACTCACAAGGTCCTACCACTAATTATTTTATACTGAAACTTACGTTTGGCAAGCTGGATTCAAATTAAGATTACCGGTATATTAAAATAATAAAAATGTATTATAAACCTATCTGACATACCGTAAAAGAACATTATACCCCTGTAATAAACACAGCTATCATCACACACCCCTCCCCATGCCCCCCCACATTTGCCAGTGAGGAGACAAGAAAGGAAAAGTGACAGCGAGATTGGGCTATTTTTAGCCGTGGAGGTGGTCAGTAATGCATACCGGTATATTTACAGATAATAATACTTATCTCCTATAAATAATTAATTTAAAATTTATTTTTTTACAAGGAATATTCAGTAAATGACTGCGTTAATTCTTGAAACTACCGACAGCTAAATACAGACGCTTAAGTGACGTCACTAGTGTTTACACTACACCAGCTGGTAACATTTGATGCCATTACTTGAAGTGAATTGGCCTTATTTTAAGTAACTAACCATAAATAAATACAAAAATTAAAAAAAAAGATGAAAAGTGAGAAATAATATACTGTATGTATGTTGTGTTGTCAAAGTAAGAGGAACAATTGAATCTGCAATTGTGTGTAAATGAGGCAGAAAGTCAGGTCAGCGCTGAACCTGGGACTTGGTCACAATTTTTGTGATGCTATATGGCAGCAGGGTCTACCATTAGACAACACATTATGCTTCCAATATCTTCCCAGGCGGTAGTATCTACCTGTTTGGTAGCTGCCTACTACCTACACAATTTTTAGTAATATTACTTTGATACATGATAAATTAAACAAACAATGAAAATAAACATCAAATTTAATTACCAAGACGCTTCCCATTGGCAGCTGTAAGAAGAGGGGGAGATGGGCTATTTTTATCCCTTCTTTGTGTCTGAAGTGGCCAGTAATACCATATATTTACTGATCATAATACTTATCTCCTATAAATAATTAATTTAAAATTTATTTTTTACATAGAATATTCAGTAAATGACTTTTAAATAAATAAACAAATAATTCGGTAAATCTATTTCAAGTAAATGGAAAATAAGCAAACAAATGTATGTAGTAAGTACGTAATCTTTTTCACTCAAATCCTAATGAAACACCACAATTAGAATATGGTGGTAGCTGTTGTATAAACAGTCGGAACACAGTCCCACCACCGAGACGAGGGAACACTCCCACCACCTCTAGTGCGAAGCAAGTGTATAAATTAAAGAAAATACTTGCAGTGTGTTTAATATGTTACAGTAAATTATAAATAAATAAATAAACAAATAAATCGGTAAATCCATTTCAAGTAAATGGAAAAATTTCACTCGACACCGACATTAGTTCCAGTTACCAGTAAATAGCAGACGCTTAAGTGACGTCACTAGTGTTTACACTACACCAGCGGGTAACATTTGATGACATTACTTGAAGTGAATTGGCCTTATTTTAAAAAACCAAGGATGGTTGATAAAGGACTACTGGGTCAGTGGGTAAGTGTCACATTTGGGGTACTGGTCTTATACAGCGAATAGAGCTCAAAAGCTACTTTTTAAATGGAAATTTGGGGGGGCCGTCTTATGCACCCCGCCGCCTTATAGGCCGAGATATATGGTATATACAGAAAACGCCATAGTGAGTTTCCCTTCTCACCTCCATCCTTAGTGCGAGATCTCCTACATAGCCTACACTACATGCTAATGCAACTTACATACAAGTAACATGACAGCTCTCATGTAGACTGATATATTGCATATTGCTGTAGCTGTTTACTCTAATATCAAGTACTATTTGCTTTGTCACTCTTCATAAATTAGACATATCATGAGCAACAGGAGTTGGCATATTTTGAAACTCGTTATGATTAAACTCCGTTAGTACAACGACATAATGGTGAAACGTACGTTTTGAGGTCTATCTCAGTTATGATGTTCCAAAACACTTTCATTGAATGCATATTTCAGTGTTATTGTAATCATCAGTCAGTGGCTTGTTTACATATGCCGTGCTTCTACCCAGCACGATACATACAGTACAGTGTTTTACAGCATATAAGATGCACTTTTTTGTCTGAAATAAAAAAAAAGGCTAAAAAATCAGCCTGTGTCCTACATGTGAAGTTGCGGTCTCCCCCAAGCTAATGAAATCCTCCCCGTAGCTCTCTCCAATAGGCTAAATTCTACCTAACTCAACTCCAGAATTAAAAATAGGTTATTGCTTACAGTACTTAAAATTATTATTATTTTGAAATAATTAAAAAAAATATTTTACATATAAAAGGTCGATCTACAACTGCTCTGTACAGTACTGATTATGATAACCTGAGACAATTAACATCTGTACGGAAGACGCCCAACTCTTCAGAGGTAACTATGCAGTAACTATTTCTGAACTCTTACAAGCATTACAATACTGTATATTAATGCCATACCTGCAACATTTATTTTTCAATCTACAAATACCTGACATACTGTATATGAAGATTTACAGATAACTTTTTTTCACATTTACATCTGTTAACATCACTTGCGGCATTGTAGCCAGGTTAGACTAGTCATTGTAACCACCAGGCTACTGGGCCAAGCTGTTGTTTTTGAACTCGTATTTTTGGGTAGATATACGTAACTTTCTTCATTTATTTTTATTGATAAACATGCACTCACCCTCCACATACATATTGTGAAAAAATTAAAGAAATAATTGTCCTAAGGGCAAACACATAAAGGGAATATACATTTCTTTGCACATGAGTTAGCTGGCTCAGTGGACGGCTGGGCGGTTGTTGGTGTGTGTGTGTGGGGGGGGGAGCAATGCTAGGGAATCAGCAGAGGTAGCATCAGCGTTGCCAAGGTGAACAGGGAGTACAGATGTACTAATGCAAATGCCAACTGTGTTAAGCTTTCATTTGGCTTTTATTTAATTTTTATTTATTCCTCACATTTACTGGTACTGTATATATTGTTTTAAGAAATCTATGGCTACAGGAGGAAAATACACACAAAAGTGTTTTCTTAAATACTCAATGATGAAATGGGGGTGCATCTTATATGGTCGTGCGTCTTATAAGCCACAAAATACAGTACATTAATATAGCTTTATAGATTTCTTGTTATATTGAAGTATTTTGTAAGCCATACAATTCACCTCCCTCCTTAAATTCTACCACTATCTCTAGCTGTTGCTGATATGGTGAGCAGACGTACCAACTTATAATAATGCTCTGGGAATTATATCAAAGCATTACGCCTAGCATTTCAAATTGTAGCGTTGGAAGATCTAACGATACTCTTTGGGGGGGACTGTACATACACGCAATATAAAAAAATATGGGCTTGAAATTACGCACTAAACTTTTCGTATATTAAAGCCCAAAGTATTTTTTATGTACTGCACTAAAAGCTTAAGAAAAATATATATACTACGGTATATATCCTACAGTATATATTCTACAGAAAGCAGTGTAATACAGGAAAAATTATAGAGCAGATCAAAAGATATACAGGTACTCCCCGACTTACGACGGGGTTAGGGACCAACATCCAGGTTGAAAGTCGAAGTGGTCGTAAGTCAGAAATGCTTAAATAACACATAGAAAATCGAAAATGGGTTTCTCTTTTTCTTCTCAGCACCACAAAGCATTCACTTTTAAGCTTGCCAGCCATTTTAAAGTGAATTACAGATGAAAATTTGGTCTGTACAAGTATATTGACTTTGGGACTCAAAAATACATAATTTGACCAAATTTTGGTACGACTGAGGCAGGTCGTAAGTGCGGGTGGACGTAAGTCAGGGAGTACCTGTACAGCAATAAATAAATAATATCTGATCATATGTTTTATATGAAATAATTTTAATATTTTGTTCCCTTGAGCTAAAAATTTATCATGTTTGTTCCTCAGATCTATGTGGTGCAAGACAATGTGGAGGTGTATTCAGAGGATCAGTATGAGGAACTACAGAAGATGAACTATGCTGATGTTGACGGCCCTGCCTACAGGTTCTGCACCGAATCTTCACAAAGACACAAAGGTGAGGAACGACATTTTTTGGGGACAAGTATTATTAACAGTGATCAATCCTGTTCAGAGGGTTAGCTCACTTTTACTAGCTAAAATTAAAAAAAAAATACATAGCATTACGATAAAGCAACAGAAAAGAGTGAGTTTCTATATTATCAACCAAAGAATGTTGTATGGCCTCAGATAGTCCAAGGATAATGCCATTCTCATTATATTTATCAATAGACTTTCACTTTAATTCCTGTATAAATATTATTACTAATTAGAAACTAACCCAAAGCAAAGGAACCAACAGGAAATAAGCATCTGATGGCTTAGTCAGCTATCCTTGTTTACTATTGTTATACATCTGCACTGTCTAGGTACACTCACTAAAAACTTCTCAAATGGTATAAGCACTACACAATCTGAAAAATGAACAAAGAATCTGAAACCATTCTGAGATGACAAGCCCTATTCTGCTCATTCTCACATCCATATAGCCCAGGTGTTCAAGAAGTTTTTGTTGTGTGTACAGTACAGGTGTACCCCATAAACCGACGTCGCATTAACCGATGCTTCGCAAAACCGATGATTACATTTTGGGGAAATATCCCACAAGTTTCATTGACTGCTCTGTTGATCCACCGACTGAGCAAGGAGAGGCAGAGCTCTTTTGAGTTTGGTGGGTGGCGACATGAGAATTCTTGTCATGAGTACCATACGCAAATTTGTATTTCGTGAATTATCAAGACACTCTCTCTCTCTTTTGCTTAACCCATAAATGATAGCTAAAGTTTTAAGTACAGTATATATTGTCTTTAATGGGGACAGTGTACAGTGGGATTGCCCATTGGGACAATCGCTAGTTTGTTTTTATTTTAATTATTATACAGTATTCTCATATGATCAGCCTATTATGGTGTATGTTTCATCATAAATAATATAACATACAATATTAAATAGAACAAAATACGATACAGTTTATAATTAGACTTAAAAATAAAAGACAAGCTGAATAACAAGGGAAGAGGTTCCCGAACAACTCACCCTTTCCCAACGTAAAATAAGGGGGTGAGGGGTAGGACTGGCCTTGCCGTAGTTGGCAGTTTTTTTTTTTTTTTTAATTATTATTATATTCTTATATTATCAGCCTCTTATGGTGTATGTGTCTTCACAAAGAATATAACATTAAATAACAGAAAAATATACGATATATAATTTTTTATATTGATATTGAAACAGTTTATTTAGCCAGAAAAATACAGATAGAGTCGATATTAGTAACAATATTGACATGACTTCAAAATAAAAGGACAACCTGCATCAGAAGGTAATCTTTTCCCTACCTGCTGACTGACGTCAAGGCCAGCTTTCGACCTGAATAATATACAGTCATCCCTTGGATATCATGCCTAATTGGGACTGCGCCGAGTGCGTCATAACATAAAACATGATAACAAGAGTACAGAACATAAGGGATTTATTCTAATTGGTTCCAGGCACCCAAGACCCAACCCCAATTTTCCCATTTTACGACCATTTCAACCCACTAAAGATATAATGTTATGGGAAGTATCAGAAACACACATAGGCATGGCTAGGTTTATTACAAAGTGATGAAAAGGGTACGCTCAATACTTTAGTCCACAAAACATGTAGCTATGCTTTCTTTATTCAAGTCCCCCGTCTGAGGAGTCAGTTTTCTCATCGCTTCAGGACGCCTGAGTCCTCTGTTTTCTCTCAATCTTAGAGTGCACCCGAGACTTCGTTATTCCTTAGTAATGACACAGAATTTGAAATTGCAACTGGGGTTGCAATTGTTGAGGCAACTTAGATATGTCTGATTACAGTTGGAACATTCAAGATCCATTGTGAGTGATGTTGAAAGCTTCAACTGTCTTTATGGTTGGTAAAACTTGTCAAGTAAGTGAGTGTCAAGTCTGTCAGTATGAGTGGCATGTGTGAGTGGTTGTATTTGTACAACCGCTTTCAAGTTTTGTTACCTCCATCCATTTTCATCCAGCAAATGTGTTATTGTCAATTTTTAGGTGAAAGATTTTATCCTCAATAGATGTAGGTGAAGCAAGGGGGTAACAATACACCTGGAGGCAACTGCGTGATAACTAAATTCTTGGCCTGTAAAATGCGCTATAACAGCAAGTGTGCAGATTTTGATGGAGGCGTAATAACGAAAATCGCGATAACCAAGTGTGCTATAACCAAGGGATGAATGTAGATTCATTATTAATATATTCTACTAAGATCAGCCTCTTATGGCATACAATTCTTCTTAAATAATATAAAGTCTTCAATATGAGATATGAGATAAACCATTTAGTATGTCTGCAGATGGCTGTATTTCTCCAGTAACCATATAGAACAGGTTTATAGGCATGGGATATCAACATAGTGAGAGTGTGCACGTGTTGGCAGGCCTGATGAATCTAAAAATCTTTGGTCTGCAGACCTGTGCCACTCCATACCCTAAGATTTACCAGTCTGTCAGGTTGTTTTACATGTTAGAGAACTTTGCTCTGAATATTTTAACTTCAGAATTTTGGACTCTCAGTTATTGAGTGTTCAACTTCCATAAATAGTGAGGAAAGCCTGTAAATACGTTGTATTAATTTTGAAAAAATTAAATAAAAAATCCCCACTCATGTAACCCTAAAAAGTAGGAAGGAAAAAAGAATATACCTAAGAACTTTTTACCCTTGCTTTTATTAAAAGTGCATAAATTCCTGAATATCTTTTCCCATTTCAGGATATGTGAGGCTTCGGTGTGCCGATATAATTCCTGCCATGTCACGTCATAACACGTATGAAGACATTTACGGTTTCATGAAACCCTCGGATGAGTCGCTGCCTGATCCAATAGTCGATATAAGACCTCTTCGTCGTAATTCTCAAACACTCTCCTCCAACGATGATAACCCCATGACTATGACACCAGACTCATTTAGCTACACAAGATCAATATCATCAGAATTTGAAGATACCGATGATGATGAACCTCCAAGTCCACCTCCTCCCCAAAGGTTGACAGCTCGACGATCCAGTGGAGTTCTACCAGAGCACTATCCTACAGGTAAACTTAAGGAGAGAATAAATAAAATGAAGGAAGAAGCTCACGAACACTTTTCAAATGGACATCCAGGTGCGCAAATAAGACCAACAAGACCAAGGAATTTAACAGAAAGACGACCAAGTGGCGTCTTCCCAAAAGTAGGCCCGGATATGGACCGCTTAAGACTTTCTTCCAAACAACGACAGTTGATGAGCACTCGAGATGGGATGGCAGACATCATAAAAAAGTTATCAAAAGTTGAAGAAGACAGTGAGGAGGAAGAGGAGGATGAGAAACAGGAAGTAAATGTTAACATGAAAAAAATTTCTCATGATGAGTTTCAAAATGACACAAACACCGAGACAAATATAGAAATTAAAAAAACAAAAGAGGTTTGTCTTGAAGCACGACTGAATGAAGATTGTTTTTTGACTCGGAGATTAAGGATGAAGGAACAAAAAGATGCTTATGGCATCACAACAAAAAGTGAGAGGAGAACATATTTTTCATCAGAAAGATATCTGGAGTGTTTTGAAGATGAATTTGAAGACCTGGCAAAGATTTTAGGCAAAGAACATCTGGTTGATACTTGTAAAATGTTAACCCCTGCAGTTCTTGCTAATGAGCTCATGATTGAACATGTAAGTTATTTATTCTACTGAAATAAGGCTCAAGAGATATGGATAAATTCATGTACTAAAACTACACAAATAAGATTTCAATTTTAGTAATAATAAGATCGCATGGTCCTGCTGGCCCGAGGAAGAAATAGTGTTGGCAAAGCAGAGGTATTTTTTCCCTTCTGCCATATCCATGATTATATGGAAATTCTATATACAGTACTGCAGCATCAACCTGTATGCTACCATGTACAGTACTTTATGCCCCTATCAAGTTATCATCCTTCAAGGTTGCTACAGTATTCTTAATTTTTCATCATTCATTTTTCCCAGGCACTCTATCTTCATCTATTCATGCTTTCATGCATCTGCTCCCCATATGGATATACAATACTTGCTGGTGAAATCAATATTTCTACACAATCTTATTTTTCAATACTGTACAAACAACACTGTCATCCTCTACCTAGGGGATTTCAATGTACATCACAGAGAGCTGCTTGGCTCTGCAAGGGATGACCCAGATGGAGTTGAGGCACTCTCGTTTTCCTTCCTTAATGATTTGGAACTAATAATTAAACACCTTACAAGTGTGCCAGATCGACACAATCAATTTACAAACAAATTTTAACTTTGTTTTATTTCTAACCCCTCACACTATTCAATTTCTGCCCCTTTAGTGTCTTCTGATCACAATCTTATTTCTATTAAATCAAACTGGGCACGACCACCTCCTCCAACCCCCTCTAAACGCCAACTATGGTACAATCGGGGGGGCAAATTGGCAATCCTTGCGAGAATTCTTCTCCAACATTCCTCGGGATGAATGTTGCTTTTCCACTCGTGACGCCTCGATATGTGCTGACAGCATTGCTGGGGTTATACAGGGTGGTATGAGTGCATTTATCCCATCTTCTACCATAACTTTCACTTTACAATCATTGTTTGATCGCTCCTGTTCTCTTCCATGTAGGGGGGGGGGGATAGAGCATATCAAGTTATGAAACTATCTCCTTCTCCTATTACCCACTCCTCTTTCATTACTTCTAGGAATCGTTGGAAGGTTATTCTTCGTAGGGCCAAGCGGAATTTTATAAAAAGAAAGACCGCAGACCTGACCAACTCTTATTCTAGTAAACCCTTCTGGTCCTTAACCAAAAACATCTGTAATAACTTCTGCACTCCTTCTTTTCCTCCTCTCTTCCAACCTGATAACTCTATAACCAACTCTCTCCCTGATTAAGCCAATTTCTTTGGCACCTGATTCTCCTGTAACTCCACCTTAGACAATTCCAACTCTATCCCTCCTTCTACTGAACCTATGCACTTTCCTATAATCTCCACTCGTACGGTTGCTGGTGTGCTATCCAGGTTGGATGTGAGTAAGGCGCATGGACTGGACGGAATACCTCCTTGCGTTCTGAGGGAGTGTGCTGAAATTCTGGCCCCTGTGCTTGCTCGCCTCTTTTGCCTTTGCTTCAAAACCCAAACTTTTTCTTCTTCTTGGAAGCATGCCTCGGTTCAGCCCATCCCAAAGAAGGGTGACCATTCTAATCCCTCTAACTATCGCCCCATTGCCCTAACTTCATCCCTCTCTAAGATTTTCAAAACTATCTTAAGCTCTCATTTTCTCTATCACCTTGAACACATTTCTCTTTTGTCAGATCACCAGTATGGCTTTCACCAGGCGAGATCTACTGGTGATCTGCCCTCCTACTGCGCCCATCTTTGGTTATCCTCTCTTAGGGATTACGGGGAAACTTTCATCGTGGCTCTCAACATCTCCAAAACATTTCACAGAGTATGGCACAAGTCTTTGCTTTCTAAACTTCCCTCTTATGGTTTTGCTCCCCCACTTTGTTCTCTAATTTCTAGCTTCCTTGAGAACCAATCTATGTCAGTTGTTGTCAAGGGATCGATCTCTCGCTATTTCTCTACCAATAGTGGTGTCCCACAGGGTTCTGTTATTTCACCTACTCTTTTCCTTCTTTTTATCAATGATATACAGTGGTCCCTCGGTTAACGAAATTTCGGTTAACGAATTACCTTTCATAAGAATCTTCAATTCGGTTAACGAAAAAAAATTTGATTAACGAAATCTTTACGAAAATCACATTTTGTTTTGAACATCAGCTGATAAGCTGAGGAGTTACTCAGCCAATTCAGTGATCTCTTCTATGTTTACATTCAAATTAATCACTATCTTATAAGAATTCCAGCAATGAAAATTAAATTCACCCCGGTCACTTCTATTAAATTTTATAAGCAAAAAACAAAAACTCAATCTAAAGGACATAAATTAACAAATAAATACTTCACACCACAGGCGCCAACTGTCAAACATGTCACTGTCACCCCTCCTCCCTACCCCCCACCTTCCCGAGAAACGTTTGGGGAAAAGCACTAGGTTTACTGGTTTAATAATAAATAATACCTCAGATTAAACTTAGGATAATATAATAGGCATTGCTGGATTCCTTGCAATAATTTGAATATAAACGTCATATATTTTGCACAAAAGATAAAAATTTTTGCTCTCTCTAATAAAATTATTAAATTTGATCTAAAATTTGTATGTCTAATGCAAATTATAGCTTGTTTATATTCAAATTAATCACTATCTTATAAGAATTCCAGGAATGTAAATTATATTCTGGTCGGTTATTTATATACAATTTTATGAGCAACATTATATAAATAAATTAAATACTTTACCAGACCTTCCCACTAACGGTCACTCAACTCCCCCCTCCCTCTTCCCACGCTTGCTTGCTGGCTCCCTCCCTCCCTCCCTACCCCTCACCTTCCCGAGAAATGTTTGGGGAAAAGCACTAGGCTTACAGGTTTAATAATAATAAATACCTCAGACTAAAGTTAGGAGAATATAATTTGCATTGCTGGATTCCTTGCAAGACAGCGAATAATTTGAATATAAACGTCATATATTTTGCACAAAAGATAAAATTTTTGCTCTCTCTAATAAAATTCTTAAATTAGATCTAAAATTTGTATGTCTAATGAAAATTTTAGCTTGTTTATATTCAAATTAATCACTATCTTATAAGAATTCCAGCAATGTACAGTGAACCCTCACTTTACGCGGTTAATTCAACCCACGGCGGCCCGCGTAAAGTGAGAAACGCGTAAAGTGAACAACATAACATATGGGATTAATTGAAATAGAGACCGGGCCGACCCCCAAACTCCACTTTTTCCCGACACAATACGTACGTTTTACTAAAAATAACATCTTTATTTTATGATGGTATTCACCCACACATAATATAGAAAGGAACAGTCAATAAACTGAAGGTTAGAAAAAACAAGGTTGGGGTTAACACTTACATTAGTAGAAGAGATGGGTCGGCGTACGGGAATGGAGGCTGGTTCCGAGGCAGAGGGCAGGCTACTGGCCCTCAGGTGAGTCACCATCACTGTCATCCACACTTCTCAGGGCCTCCCTGACAAATCCCTCAAAGTCATCATCACTGTCTCTACCTCTGTCACTATCACTGGCTTGGGCTGGCTGTGGTGGGTTGCAGGCGAAGAACTCTGTTATGCTTTGCTGAATGCTGGTGTTTATGTTGTCGTGATTATCCTTGGTGTAGGGCTCCATAGTCTGCAACAGCTGGGTAGTGAAGATTTCATACCTGTTAACGTCAGGGTTGTCGGAAAGGAGGAGCTTGACTTTCTCGATACACTCGATGGCACCCCTAACATTACTATGGGATAAGCAGCGTTTTTCTTGGGATGACGCACCACCTGCCTCTTCACTGACGTCATCATCATCTACCATCTCGTCGGTAGTCACATCAGGATCCCTTATCACCTCCAGGATGTCGTCGTTGGTGGTCTCGGAGAAGCCTGCAGCTGTAACACTCTGCACAGCTTCTCTGGCAAGGTCCACTGCTACTGCAACAGTCTGAACCTCACCAGTCACAGATTGACTCTGCCTAACGGCTGGAATGCCTTGCAACACATGTCTCCATGCGTGACGAACAGTTGCTACAGACAGCTGATCCCATGCCTCCCCCAAGAAGTCCACAGCTTTCTTGATGTTGAATATTCTCCAGAATTGTTTTAAAAGTACTTGTTGCTCTGCCAACTGTTGATCCTCGTCGTCTTCGCTCTTGCTATCGGTGTTGATGTCACTCAGGTTACGCAACTCTTCCCTGGTGTTGGTGTAGTCGTTCAGGAGCTTGAATTTTTTAGTAGAGAATGCAGCTTTTACATTACAGATTAACTCTTGGTCCATGGGCTGTAATATAGACGTAGTGTTGGGAGGAAGGAAGAGCACTTTTACGTTGGGGTGACGATCTAACAGTAGGGGCGAGTGTCCTGGCGCGTTGTCAAGCAGCAACAAAATCTTGAATGGAACATTCTGTTGCTCACAGAATTTCTTCACGTCAGGAACGAAACAGTCATCAAACCAGGAGAGGGACAGAGTAGAGAACATCCACGCCTTACGTGCGGTCAGCCAGTGGACATTTAGCTTGGTCATGTCCATGCTCTTGTAGGCGTGCGGCTTGCGTGCTGTGTGGATCACCGATAACTTGAGCTTACAGGTACCGGAGGCATTGGTGGTAAACAGGACGGTGATGCGCTCCTTCTGCAACTTCCGGCCCCGAATCTTGCTGGCATTCTTCACAACGAAGGTCTTGGAAGGTAGCTTTTTCCAAAAAAGACCAGATTCATCCATGTTAAACACCTGGTTGTCGGTGTACTGTCCTTTCTCCATAATCTCACGTAAAAACGGAGGAAATCCCCTAGCCGCAACACGGTCAGCACTAGCTTCTTCACCACCAATGTTGATATTGGTGATCTTGTTCCTCTTCTTAAACCTCTGTAACCACCCAGAGGAAGCATTAAAGGGTTTGGGCTCTGTAATTCCCATCTTTCGTGACACTGCAGCATACAGTTCACGCGTGTACTCCTTAACTGAGCGCGTGTCCACCGCCATGTTCCGTCGCGCCTGACGCACCAAGTAGCTCACAAGTAATTTTTCCGTCTTGAGAAGCACCTGGTTGTGGAAATACTTATCATAGAAGCACCTGTAGACTTTGTGATGTTCATGTGCTCCTTTATCTTGGCTGCATCCTTCTTAATTGTCCAGATCGTAGACTCGTTAACACCATGCTGGCGCGCGAGATCAACCTGTCTTGTTCCTTTCTCCAACTCTTGTATAATCTTATACTTAATTTCGTAGCTTAAGGAACGTTGTGTCTTCTTTGGCTTAGGGCGGCTGGGTCCAGGTAAGGAAAGGTTTCTCTCTGCGGGCGGTGGTCCAGCGGAAGCCATTTTACAGAACAATGGATGCACGTTTACACGGTGTGGCCTGGAGGGATAAAACTGCCGTGGCTAGGTCAAGCGTCGTCTTTCCTCCCTCCTTCCCGCGGGTGGACACGTCATATTACTTTAAACCAATCACAGCTAGCAGCGGAGGGAGGTAAGGATGCATGGCCCAATTACAGTCCGATACGTCATATGACGTCACTGATAACGCAACAAAGACACACACTGCGCAACCTACTCGCGCCGCTTACACAACATGGCGGATGGCAGGAGAGGGCGGGAGAGATGGCGGGAGGTTTGGATCCAAAAATGGTGCGGCTCGCCAGCCGCTCTCCGCTTAAAAGGGTACACGCACCGCGGAATGTGAGCATTCCGGTTTCGGCAGGGTACCGCGTAAACGTGGAAACGCGGAATGTGGGACCGTGTAAAGCGAGGGTTGACTGTAAATTATATTCTGGCCGGGTAATTTCTATGAATTTTATGAGCTAAAAACAAAAATCTCAAATAAATAAACAAATTATACTTCACCAGACACTATCTGTCACCTCACCTCCCACTCCCCCCCTCTTCCCACGCTCGCTGGCTCCCTCCCTCCCTCCCTCCCTACCCCTGCCTTCCCAGACAAAAGTTTCGTGTTTTCTTTAGGCTTTAAAGTGTTCATCTTATATAATATCACAGACTAAAGTTAGGAGAATATAATCTGCATTGCTGAAATCCTTGCATGATAGCGAATAATTTGAATATAAACGTCATATATTTTGCACAAGAGATAAAATTAATCACCTGCATCACATTACAGTAGTGATTTAAGAGTTCTAGTGTACAGTGATCCCTCGGTTAACGAATTACCTTCCATGAGATTCTTAACTTTGGTTAACGAGCATTCCCTCGATTAACGAATTCTTTACGAGCGCCCCTCAACAAGTTTTTGCTTGCACACTAGCTGTCATATTAGTCCCTGTCATATTAGTCCGCCAATACAGTAATCGGTTCTAGGGCTTAAATTCCTTACTATTTTAGTAAATATCAAGAAGTTTGTACTATTCAACAATTTTAAGTCTTAAATTAAATTTTTTAGTCATTTTAACAATTATTCAACATAATTTAAGTACAGGGAAAATAGTTCTTAGCGCGCCAAACAGCCTGTCAACACATCATACAGGCGAAAGTCTCTGTGTTTTTTCAGTGGAGGTAACATCTTGCTTCAGATTCTCTTCAACATAAATGCTTTTTTCTGTGTTTCCAGTCAAATTATTGGTCATTTTGAAATTTATTTTACATATTGACAATATATAATGCAGTGCAGTATTGATTTAAAGAAAATAATCTTGAATTACACCAAGTGAACTCAAATTTTATGGGTGAAATAGCACCATGGGGGTGACTTCTCTTCCACCACAATGCCTTCTCTTCTCCCTTCTCCTCCACCCCCATTCTAATTCCCATCATCATCATCATCCAGGAGCCTTCTACATATACACCTCAAAGTAAGTGTACTTTACTACCTTCTTTGTTAACTTTAGGCAATTTTCGGAGGGCTGGAAACAATTACCCAAAAACCCATTGAAACAATGGTTTCGGTTAACAAATTTTTCGGTAAACGAGCAACCTTCTAGAACGAATTGTGTTCGTTAACCGAGGGACCACTCTATATGACAATATCTAGTTATTTAAGGGCGATTTAGGGGAATTTTAGGAGTGTTTCTAACTTTATGCATGTTTGGCTTTACTTTGTATATACTTTTCTGTGAGCTGGAACCAATTACCCAATATCCCATTGAAACAATGGTTTCGGTTAACGAACGAACTTCTGGAACGAATTGTGTTCATTAACCGAGGGACCACTGTACTTCACACTACGACTCATTCTGTCCATTCTTACGCTGATGATTCTACTCTTCATTCTTCTTCACATTTTTCCTTTCCCCCTAATTCTCAAAATATATCTGTATCTAGAGCTGATATCATTTCATCTATCAATGAGGATTTGTGCAGCTTCTCTGAATGGAGAGGTAGAAACTTGGTTAAATTCAATTCAGTAGTATTTAAACACAGTATTTACCAATTACACCTTCCAAATTAGATGATCTCCAACCAATCACATTTCAGGACGCAATCATTCTGCCAAATTCTAAAATAGATATGCTAGGCCTCACCATTTCCTCTAATATGTCATGGAAGACACACATTCACAACATTGCTAAAGCTGCCTCCCAAAAGCTGGGAATGCTGTACAGATGTCGTAGCTACTTCACTCTTGAGCAGTTGCTTCAAGTTTATAAGGGATTCATTCGTCCTAACTTGGAATACTGCTCTCATATCTGGGGTGGCTCTTCTTCTGTTCAGCTGTCAGATAGGGTGGAATCAAAGGCATTTAATCTTATTAACTCTCCTCCTTTAGTTGAAAATCTCTCTTCCCTTTCTCTTCACTGCAATGTTGCTTCAATATCTCTCTCTCTCTCTTTTTTACAGGTACTTTAACCGGCAATGTTTGGTGGATTTGGCATCCTGTGTACCGCCGGCAAGGCCGTGGACTCTTAACACTCGTCTTGCCCGCGGTGCCCACCGTTTCTGTGTGGTTGTCGGTCACACTAGAGTAAACCATTATAGTATACATCCTTCTTTCCTCACAAAGCCAAACTGTAGAATGCTCTGCCTCCTTCTGTGTTTCCATACTCTTACAATCTGTCTCACTTCAAAAAGTTGGTTTTCCAGCATCCTTGTGGTGTAGACTATCAGTCTCTTTCCCTCCTATTTCTAATTTCTTTTTACTCTTATTTTTTCACCCCCCTCCCCCCCGAAGCTCCATTGTGGGTCGATGACCTGTGTCCGGGTGGGCTGTTCCCTGTCTATAAAAAAGAAAAAGAAAAAGGCAACAGCTTCATTCTTATCACTCAGCCAAGAAATGGGCTGACAATTAATACTGTCACAGAAGCTGTCCATCTGTCTTACCATCCATTTGTTTATTAGTTTCTAATTACAATTACGATTTTTTATAAACAATTGATGTACAGGTATTCCCCTCAATTTCATAACATGGGTTCATCAAATCCTTTTGGAGGTTACTAAAGTAAAATGCCCGAAAGCTTTTCAGCGGTCCAACGAATTACCCAAAAGTACCCAAATGTACCCAAAAGTATATTAAATCAGGGTAAAATCTTAACAAATATATGTTTCACATCAATGAAACCTGATTAATAATGTTTTCATTGAAATGTAGTCAAAATACTGAAATAATAAACAGCGAAAAACGCTAAACTCCAAAGAGTCACCTATCCAAAATGGAGATATAATTACCGATGTTTCTGTTACTTTGGGGTATTTAACATAGCCGTAGGATTTACTTTTCGTTAGGTAAGCGAAGTGCATCACGATGGATCTGAGTTATCTCCCTTGTTCACGAACTCTTTGGAATTTAGCGTTCGCCAATACTGAAAGTTTTTCGCTGTTTATTATTTCATCTTACAAATTATTTTTACAAAATTACATTAAAAATATTATTAGACATGTTTTGTGTATGTATAACAGATATTCGTTAAAATTTTACCGATTTAATATACTTTTGGGTACTTTTGGGTACATTTGGGTACATTTGGGTACTTTTGGGTAATTCGTTGGACCCCTTTTCAGTCATGTGGTATTCTACTACTTTCTGGTGCTCATGTTCTAATAGTCAAACTATCATGCAAAGTTCTTCAACAAATTTTTCTGGTGTGGCTGGATATTTTTCATTTACAGGTGTAAAGGTGGTGGGAAACTTTAATGTGTAGAGAGGAATTCACATGTATATATTTAGGGAAGTCTTAAAACTGCTATTTATATTTCTTACTGCAGATTGGACCAAAATTCAACACTGAATTCATCCCTACTATGATCCTGAAGGAGTGGCCAACTTGTGCATTTGAGTGGAAGCTGCGGGAACGAAGACCACGGGCTGACCCAGAAACTAAAATGGTTTACAAGTTAGTGTCAATTAATCTTTTTATATTAAAATGTTTCCAACAATGGTATCCTCATTTACAATCTATGAGTTGAAACAGTAGGACTTTTAAAACCGCTTGCTCCCGATGTAAAAGGTGAACTGAAAAGTAAAGTAAGGCACTAGCTTTTTAATATAAACTCTCCGACCTTCTCGGGGCAACTCTCCAATTGCAATACAGGTACTCCTTAATTTACAAGCATTTGCACAACATGATTCCATTTATAGCTCAATACGATTGGCAGAAAAACACGTTCTGAATGTGCCCTCAACACACTTCTTTGTGTAAGCAGTACAGTACAGTACAGAACTCAGTTCTGGTCTGAGTGCTTCTCATCTCGCATGTATGTTGCAATGACTCACTAAACTTTGCTGTTCTTAAAATTTATCAGTTGCAACCTTAACAATCAAGAGTGCAAATGAAGGCATTAAGTGACAAGACTTCTCCTGTGACCCAAAATTAAAGTTGATTATTTTGTAAGAGATGTAAAGATAACTGATGTAGCAGAGGTAATCGACTTTGACAAAGAAGAATAATAGAATGAAGGATTGATCCAACTGGATGAACTATGAGAGCAGTGGGAGGAAACTCATGATGATGTAGACCCTATTGCCATGCCGATGAACAAAAGCATTCACTCTTGTTGAGGAATTAATAATTATCAATTTCATTTTACAAAAAAAATTTTTTTGGTTGCATAGATACAAAGAATAGCTGTGTGCAAGGCATGTAGGCAAGTCAAGGTTATCATGTGAACGGTGTGTAAAGGTGACGTAACAGCAAAATGTACATTCCTATTACAGTACAGTAAAACCTCACTAAGGCAGACCCAGCTTAAGCTGGACAAAATTATTTGCCAAAAAATAATTAACAAATTAAAAAGAATAAATGAAAAGGTAGGACATAATGTCGCAAGATGACATAAGCCAAAATTTCAAGGGAGCAAGGTGGACAGACCTCGTGATCCACCCACTCTTGTAAACAAAGGGACGTGTCACCCGCTCGGTCATAAATTAATGTCGCCCGTGATAGCATCACTTCCGCTCTCTCTCCATTGATTGTGTTTCATTGCCATATAGACGTGCTGAACTTTATTTTGAAACTTATTTGACATTGCCAGTAATGTGATTATGTTGTGGGCTGATGTAGCATACATATTTTTGCATTATTGTAAAATTAGACAATAGACATGGCCCCAAAGAAAGTGTTTGGTACCTGTAAGGGTGGTGAGAAGGTTAAACCTAAAACCTTATCAGTGAACTAAAAGTTAAAGGTGATTGAAAAGCTAGAATACGGTGCTGCCCCCTCACAGGTATGTGCTGAATACGGAATTTCAAAGTACAGGTAGTTCTGCTATAACGCGATAATTGTGTTCTTGTAAAATATCGTGTTATAGAAAATCGCGTAATAGAAATAACAGGGCTTATGGAGAAAATAGGGTTAGGTGCAGATTACTCGAAATCGAAAAAATTTAGTAGTTAGCCTAACACAAAGGATAGCACAGTCTAAATAAATGTTACATTCATATCTAATAATGAAATCATACAGTAAATTTAACACTTTACCTTGAAAAAATATGAATGTAACTTGATGGGGGAGAAGGGTGATTTTGAGGTTGATAACATCAAGCTTCTCTTCAAGTGTTATATCCTTTCTTTTACGATAATCACCGGGAATTCTATCATCAGAATGCTTTTTGGAGATATTCTTCTTTACCATATTCACAGTTAATACCACAAAATTGGAGAAATAGTAAGCAAAAATCGCGTTATAGCAAACAAGCGATCGCGTTATACAAATATTGTTCCGAATTCATAAATCGCGTTAGAGCAAATTCGCGTTATCAAAACACGCGTTATAGCAGAACTCACTGTAGTCAGACTCAAAGTGACTTAGTGGCTTAGTGGGGGACCGGGAAGACGGCTGGGTGGTTGGTGAGGGTAGGGGTGGAGCGTTGCCAGGGAATCAGTGGGGGTGGCGTCGCTGTTGCTATGGCAAACGAACGGTTCAATCGACGAAATTTCGGTTAACGAATTACCTCCCATAAGGATTTTCAGTTCCATTAACGAACAAAACTTCAATTAACGACAGCCTTAGGAGAAACATGCTTTGTTGTGCACATCAACCGATCAGCTGATCAGCTAGTCCGTCAATACAGTAATTGGTTCTATGTTTACATTCGTTTCCAGTGGAATAAATATCAAGAAAGTTGGTCTCTTGAATGTTTTTGCATTTGTTTATATTAGAATTATTGGTCATTCTATAATTTTGCCACCCAAGCTCTGCCTACAAAAAGTTTTTCAACTAATATTTTTGGCTTGATATATGTAACTTTATTCATTCATTTTTACTCATTTACATGCACACACTGTCGTAAGGGCAAAGCTGTACTGTACATCTACTCAAAATATTGTACAAAATGATTACTAAGATTTTTGTCTAGTGCAAACTATATCATGTTTACATTCAAATTAATCAATATCTTATAAAAAATCCAGCAAAGTAAATTATATTCTCCTCAGTCACTTCTATGACATTTTATAAGCAAAAAACATAAACTCAATCTAAAGGATATAAATAAACAAATAAATACTTCACTAGACCTTCAGTGCCAACTGTCAAACATGTCACGGTCGCCCCCACCCCCCCCCCCCTCTCCCAGCCAGGGTTTGGTGGTTTTAGGCTTAAAATTTTTATCTTACATAATATCTAATATACTATAGGACTAGCCATGTGTCTGTCTGTCTGTCTGTCTGTCTGTCTGTCTGTCTGTCTGTGTGTGTCTGTTCTGGGCAGCCGAAACGGCAATCGTTTATAATACAAAATGGTGGAAAAATCGCAAAAAATTCGTAGAGTGGAACAAACCTGGTCCCATGTCGACGGTTTCTTTAGGAAGGCATTAATTAAAAATTTTATTTACGATGGAAAACGATGCAAGTCTACGGACTTGGCACACCCTCATTCACTGTAAACTGTCACGAGCGTTCAAACTTTCACAAGGGCACAAAGGGCCCGCGTTCACTTGTCACAGACTAAAGTTAGGAGAATATAATTTGCATTGCTGGAATCATTGCAAAACAGTGAATAATTTGAATATAAATGTCATATATTTTGCACAAGAGATAAAAATTTTAGTACATTTTAGTACAGTTGTACCCCACTTAACGCGGTCAATTGAACCCAGAGGGTCCCGCGTTAAGTGAAATCCGCGTTAAGTGAACAACAGAACATATGGGATTAATTCCAATAGAAACCGGCCCGACCCCCAAACTCCACTTTTTGAAGGCACATACCTATGTTGTAGTAAAAATAACATCTTAATTTTATGATGGTACATGCACACAATTAATACTTAAGAGAAATAGAGAAATACAGTCGCCAAGTTAATGTCCATTCAATTAATGGACTCAACTCCCTCCCCCTCTCACACTACACTGCTTGGGGGAAAACCACTAAATTTTAATAAATAATACCTCAAACTAAAGTTAGGATAATACAATTGACATTGCTGGATTCCTTGTAAGACCAGGAATATTTTGAATATAAATGTCATATATTTTGCACAAAAGATAACATAGTTACCTAGAGAAAATTTTTTATCTAAAAATTGTATGTTTAATGCAAAATATATGATGTTTATATTCAAAATGATCACCAAATTATAAGAATTCCAGCAATGTAAATTATATTCTGACCGGGTAATTTGTATGAATTTTATGAGCTAAAACAAATATCTTCAGTTAATAAAAAAAAAAATAATTCTTCACGGGGTAACAGATGGTCGGTCGGTCCCTCCCTCCCCCCCACCCCCCACCAACCGTCCCAAGGAGATGTGTGGGATAACCACTAAATTTTAATAAATAATACCTCAAACTAAAGTTAGGATAATATAATTGACATTGCTGGATTCCTTGTAAGACCAGGAATATTTTGAATATAAATGTCATATATTTTGCACAAAAGATAACATAGTTACCTAGAGAAAAATTTTTATCTAAAAATTGTATGTTTAATGCAAAATATATGATGTTTATATTCAAAATGATCACCAAATTATAAGAATTCCAGCAATGTAAATTATATTCTGGCCGGGTAATTTGTATGAATTTTATGAGCTACAACAGGCAGTCAGTCAGGCAGGGTGGCGGGTGGGGCAAATCTAAAAATAGCGTCTCGAGCCGGACACTCATCGCGTATATGTGGAAAAAATCCGTGTTAAGTGAAAGTTCAGCTCTGGCGAGGCACCGCGTATATGATAAAACGCGTTAAGTGAAACCGCGTTAGGCGGGGTAATACTGTAATGTAAATTTTTCAACTGTATTTTTGGGTAGATTTACATAAATTTCTTCAATTATTTTATTAATTCACATGCACACACCATACTAAAAGAAACTTCAAAGAAATAAATGACCTAAGTCCAAACCTGTACTGTACATGTACTAAATGATTACGGTACTAAAATTTGTATGCCTACTGCAAATTATAGCTCGTTTATATTCAAATTAATCACTATCTTACAAGAATCCCAGCAATGTAAAATATATTCTCCCAGGTTATTTCACTGGCATTATGTAAGAGAAAAGCTTAGTCACTTCAGGACTGATAAATAAACACACATTAGACCTTCGGCACCAACTGTCAAACACATCATATCATATATCACCTCACCTCCCCCTCCCTCCCTCTCCCCCATCTGCCCAGCCAGGGTTTTAGGCTTACAGTTTTTATCTTATATAATATCTCAGACTAAAGTTAGGAGAATATAATTTACATTGCTGGAAGCCTTGCAAGACAGTGAATAATTGGAATATAAACGTCATATATTTTGCACAAGAGATACAAATTAATCACCTGTATCATATTATAGTAGTGATTTATGAGTGTGTGTGTGTGTGTATATATATATATATATATATATATATATATATATATATATATATATATATATATATATATATATATATATATATATATATATATAT